GTGGGGGGTCCACCTAACAGATACATGAAACTCCATCCCCCAGCTCCACGAACTTTCGATCCCCAACTCCAAAAGAACTGGAGCGCAATCCCTTCTTTGCCCCACTGCGTGCGTTTCCTCTGCTAAAAAGTCTTAACGATTTACCAGAAGCCTTTGCTTGGGGAACATGGAGGGAAATCTCATAGATAGACCCAAATCGCCTCCTAAAGAACCTACACAAGAACGAAACAGCACGCCACAATCCCAGACTGAAGATCTGCATGACCCTAGGATACTAAATTTTCCATGCAATAAGGTACTTAGGGTCATCAAGGATTTTCAGTATTCGCCGTATGCCTGCGCATTCACTGCATCTTTCACCATGCGGTGCATGTGTTATGAGTAAACCGAATCACAGGCATCCTTTGCACAATCTCCGCAATTATCGCAATACTGCTGACAGATGGAAGGCACTGTACCTGTGAACTGCATCAAAAGACCAGACCGGATTTGTTAATCAACATCACCTTGAGCACCCTAAATCCAAAACCGTCCTTCCTAAACCCACATTGATCTCTGCATCTTCCACCCTAAAAGTGAGACGAACCCCACATATCCAAACACGCCTCCATCACTCAACCTGAAGCCTTCTTTCGGTCGTGGGACTTCACAGGTCTTAGCAAGCGTACCCATAGCACCTGAATCCAGAAAATGACCCCACTGTCCCCATTAATAGCCTACCTACTAAGTCCCCTCACCCTCCAGGCACTGTTTCTCTACCACATATACGTTATCCTAAACGCTAAGCCTTAACCCTTAACCTTAAGCCTTAAACCTTAAACGCTCAACAACAAGCCTTAGACCCTACACCCTCAGCTTCTCCCACAGAACAAGCGCGGCAGCCGGGCAAAGTAGGAGAACGCAATGCCAGCCATCGGATCAATGGCATCCTTGAGGCTTCCCCAATGTTTGCGGCTTCGGGTTTAAGGTTCCCAGTTTAGGATTTAGGGTTCAGGGTTCGAAGTTTAGGATCTAGTGTTTAGGGTTCGAAGTTTAGGATTCAGGGTTTAGGGTTCGAAGTTTGGGATTTGGGGTTCAGGGTTCGACGTCTTTAGGGTTTGGGGTTTAGGGTAGTTGTCCTATAATTGGTGGGGAATTTAAGGACTTAGGGTTTTGGGGTTCAGGGCTTTAAGGTACAGAGTTCAGGGCCTAAAGGTCTTCTTGCAGGGGTATAGGGCCAGTGTAGAGTTTAGGGTTTGCAGTGCGGGAGTTTAGAAGCTAGGGTTGGGATTGGGATGCAGCACACTGTTTTTGTGCTCCTTGCAATATTTTTGTTGGGCCTTGTCTTCGGGTTTAGGGTTTAGGGCTTAGGGTGCATACTATGATCCCCTGTCGTATAAACCCCTTGCACCCGCCAAACCCCGTAAGCGCCTGAAAACCCGAAACCCAAAGAACCCCCAAAACCCACTAACACACCCCCAACTGCTACAATCATCTAGATCCCAACCCCAAACTGCCAAAACCACAAAACCCCAAAACCCGCCAGACACTCCCAAGCCCCCGGAAAACCCTCCTCGGAGTCGTCGAAGATGAAGAGCCCACCACAAACCCCAAGCCTTGGCTACTTGGGTTCTTGCTGGCTGCAAGTACCATTTAGAGCTTAGGGTTCAGGATCTGGGGTTAGGTTAAGATAATTAGGATTGGCGTTGTTGAAGCAACGATTTTGCTACCTTGGATTTTTGGGCTCAGGGTTTAGGAACTAAGGCTTCTCAGAATGGGACCTGTGGTGTTTCAATGATTTTTTGGATATACCTGTTTGTTGGGACGTGTCGGGGTAAGGTTTATAAGGTTCAGAGATTAAGTTTTTTGCGGGGGCGTAGGTTTTCTCAAACAAGGGACCCTCTCTGGGGGCCCTAGAGTCATATGAGGTGTCCAATTGAATTACAAAAATGTTAAGGTTGGTTTGTAAGTGTGCCCCGATCGGAAACACTTTGTTGCGGCGGGGATCCGTTTTCAAGCATTTGCCTAAACCCTGAACCCTAGACCCTAAACCCTAAATCCTGAATCCTAAATCCTAAACCCTAAATCCTAAACCCTAAATCCTAAACCCTAAACCCCAAACGGCTTAGGGCTAAGGATGGAGTATCGCTGAAAGTCTTCGGTACAGCATTTCTCTTGTATCCTCTAGAAAGGACACCTCTATACATATATATATATATATATACTTATGTATCTATATTTATGTGTTTATATATAAATATACATATACATATATCTATATATATATATATTTGGGGTTTAGACCCTCCATCTCTATATACCTTAACTTAAATACCCGGGATCATGTCCCCATGTAACGGTACAAGAAGATTTCTGCTTATCATCAACTAGAGCCCCGACTCTTTGCTCTAGATCCGTACCATGGCGTCTTGGTTTGGACAGGGTTTCCTAGAATTAGGGGTACCTCATTGGGGGTCCCATGAAAAGGATTATAGTATTTGGGAGTCTTATAGTGGGGTCCGCTTACTTAGCGACGTACCAAATTTCTTAGCTACCTGTATGACCCCTCTGTATCCCAAGCTTCCGTTTCATTGTCCATTTTCCTTTGACTTCCGTCACAGCAAACCAGACCAAACCCTAAACCCTGAACCCCGACCCCTAAACCCTGAACCCTAAACCCTGAGCCCTGAACCCTACACCCCCAACCCCGACCCCTAAACCC